TGGTGACACCAATTGATTATCATCTCTGTGCCCGAACACACGATGCCGAACCTCTGCATTACTGACATGGTGTTGCCACTGAATGTCAGCAATCCTTCGGAGACAGCGATGATCGAACACAGAGAGTCGTCTAACGTCCTCACAAGCATAGAGCAAAACTGCTCTCACCGACGCGTTGTAGATCCGACCTTTTACAGCCAGACTAACATCACGAAGGCGCCAAAGGTGGCCCAGATTGGCATAAGCCGCTCTGGCTTTCACTATTCGTGCATTGATCTCATCACTCACACCCCCACCAGCACTTATGCAGCTACCCAGATACACGAACTTCTCAACTACGTCTATCTGCTCACCATCCAGGGTGAGTACAGGATTAGAATCCTGCCAGTCTTGTAGAAGTACTTTGCACTTCGAAGGTGCAAAGCACATACCATACCTACGGACACTGATTGCCAACTGATTAAGTGCGGATTGCATGCCTTGGGCATTATCGCACAGTAAGACAATATCGTCCGCATACTCAAGGTCGAGAAGTCTTTCTCCAGGCAACAGATCCACACCACCATTACTTACATTCATCAGAGCTGTTTCCAGAATGTCATCGATGGCAAAGTTGAAGAGGAATGGTGAGATTGGGCAACCCTGCCTAACCCCACTGCTCGAATGGAACAATGGAGAGAGGTGGTTGTATGCCCTCACTCTGCCTGAGGTGTTTTTATATAGGGCTTTTAGGATGTTAATAAACTTCTCAGGCACACCCTTCTTCAATAGACAATCCCAGAGAACAGTCCTGTCCAACGAATCGAAGGCAGCCCTGATGTCAAGAAACACTACGATTGTTGGCCTTTGAAAGTATGGCGGTGTTCTAACATTTGGCGGAGGGTGAAGATATGATCAATACATCCTCGACCAGAACGAAACCCAGCCTGCTCCTCGCGAGTCAATCTTTCTCGGGTTTTGAACAACCTACGAAGAATGACGGAAGCCAATAGCTTGGACGCAATCGGAAGTAACTTATCCCCCGATAGTTGTTACAGAACGACGTGAACCCTTTTTAAAGATAGGGACAACTATCGACTCATTCCATGACGTTGGTACACTCTCTAGTTCCCAAACCTTTGTAAACAACGTCGTCAATTCCTTAGTCAAAAAGTCACCACCATCTTTAAAAAGAGCCGGAGGTAAGTCATCTGGGCCAGGTGATTTGTAACGCTTCAAGAGTTGGAGTTCCTTGCGGACTTCCTCCTCGTTTGGTGGATCAGTCGTCACCGGCCATGGAGGGCAGGACAGTCTGACCGATGTTGCCGGAGCAGCAGGCCAGTTGAACTGCCCTTCGAAAAATTCTGCCCATCGTCCAAGACGTCGATGGATGTTAGTGATTGGCATCCCATCATCCTCGCAGATTGTTTCACTCACACCAGACTTCTTGCTGCCAGTGGCTCGGATGAGCTGGAAGAGCTTCCGGTAGTTACCAGATGCAGCTGCTGCTTCCAGCTCATTAGCACGCATCGACCACCAGGCTTCTCGGTCCTTACGCAAGCTTTGCCCAATTTCCTTACGTAACATCCTTCGTTTATGGTCAAACTCACGGTCACCCGGAGTAGACCGACGGGCTTCAATGAGTTGTAAGGAACCAGAAGAAACCCAGTGCTTAAAGCGGGACGTTTCGCAAACCCACAACTGACTGTTCCCGCCATTTTCATGGCGTCATGCAATTGCAACCAATGCTCATCTATACTTTTCGGTGGAGTGGTAGCTAGCCTAGAGGCTAGCTCGGTTCGATACTTACTTGCAACAGAAGTTGCAACCAGCTTGCTAACATCAATCCGTTGATGGCGTCACTTCGTTGTCCACTGAAAAGTAAGGCAAGATTGGCGCAGACCAAGGCATGGTCAGAGTCCAGATAGGTACTCCAAAAGGAGCGGCAGTCTTGTACACAACCACGCCAGCGGTAGCTGATCGCGATGTGATCAATCTGAGTCCAGGCTTGAGATGCAGAGGGAGGACGCCAGGTGGCACATCGGCGATGACTGTGCCGAAAGTTAGTGCTAGCCAGAAACAGGTTGTGGTCTGTGCAAAGTTGCAGTAGACGGTCCCCGTTATCTGACCTGCGACCAACGAGTCCCCATCGGCCACCTAAACGACTCTCTTCTGTGCCTAGACGCCCGACCTGAGCATTCAAGTCTCCGGCTAGTACTACAATATCTGTCGAACGCACTTTCTGGAGAAGAACTGATAACTGGTGGTAAAACTCATCCTTGATTGCATCCGGGCTGCAATCTGTCGGGGCATAGGCGGAGATGACGAAAAGACATCGTTTCTCACGCCGATTTCTTCTCACTTTGATGGAACTTTCTAATCTAACAGCACATAACCGACTGTTAATGGGGATCCAATCGACTAGTGCTGCCTCAGCTCTAGCGCTTAGTGCGACACCAACGCCAGCAAGACCAGACGAAGATGCCACAGGGTCCCCGGATAAGCGCACGTAAAACAAGCTTTTCGAAGCGACAGATGGAGATCGAATTTGTAGTACTTCGCCAGAGTCTTGAATACGGGTCTCGGATAGACAACAAACATCGATATTAAGACTTTCCAAAGACATAGCCAGCCCTATCTGTTGTCCGACCTGCATAAATGTGCGAACGTTGAAGGCAGCCAGTTTGAATGGTGCACGTGGTTTCAGAAAAACTGCTTCAGTCCTCGTATTCGGTGGTAACATACAATTTTCAACCGGACAGTGACTCGAGAACGTTTAGATACAGTCGAATTTCCACCAAAGACGAGCCGCTGTATAAGTATAAAAGAGGGTGAATAATGTGGAAAATAATAATAATAATAATGACAATAATAGTAGTAATAATAATATTAGTATTAATAATGACAATAATTGTAATGATAATAATCTGAATCAATTGTTTGTTTTTCAAAGCGAGAAAGGTAATTTCCATAGGCATAAAGAGTTCATCAATTTGTGTGTGGGCTGTGATACTGCCCGGGTGCCCAAACCGAAGCAGGTGGTTATCTTAGGGGGCCACTCCCCGAGCCTTTGACCTAAAGGTCTAACCCACAAGGCAGTGGAGCATCGTAAGGAGATGCAGTCCCATGGTAGCCGGTGACCAACGATTGGTTCATACGCCATTTGTTCCCGCAGGATACTGGAGCCCATGTGCACCATTGGTTTGTGATCCGGTTAAAGCGCCGGATATGCGCTTAGTCGTTAAGTTACTTGAAAAGATAATTCGGGTTAGGTTGCTAAGCCACATAGATTTACACAATCTGTTAGCTCATGAGCAACACGGATTTCGTAACAAGCGGTCATGCTTGACTAACTTGCTTATTGCGAGGGAGGATTGGACAGCAGCCCTAGATAACGGTCTGTCTGTCGATGTGATATTCATAGATTTTAGCAAAGCATTTGACAAGGTTTCACACGTAGGTCTTATGCAGAAGCTCACGAGCTTCGGAATAATAGGTACTGTACATGAGTGGATAGGAAATTTCTTATGTGACCGCAGACAGAGAGTGAGGGTCGACGGAACGCTATCCGATTGGAAGCCGGTCAAAAGTGGTGTACCCCAAGGCACCATCTTAGGCCCCCTGCTCTTCCTTCTATACGTTAATGAGTTACCGCTGTTACTTAGGTCGTCGACATTATTGTTTGCGGATGACGTAAAAATCTGGAGAACAATAAAAAGTGCGGATGATCATCTGGATTTTCAAGCTGACTTAGACGATTTAGTTAGATGGGCTCGAGAGTGGGGCTTAGAAATCAATGATAGGAAGAGTGTACTAATGCACATCGGTCACGGTAATAGTTACCGTTACACTATTGAGGGTAAACCTCTTCCATGGTTTCAAGAGCATACAGACTTAGGAGTAGTATTAAGTCATGATTTAAAAACAACTACGCATTGCAAAGCAGCCGCTGTCAAAGGTTTTCGTGCGTTATGGTCACTTCGCCGAGCGTTCAAATCTTTTGACGAGGAAACGTTTCGAATTTTATATCCCATATATGTTAGACCACATTTAGAGTACTGTATCCAAGCAGATAGCCCGTGTCTAGTAAAGGATACTAACTCAATTGAGCGTGTCCAGCGTGTGGGAACGAAATTAGTGAAGGGTCTTTCTAGACTCCCTTACGATGAGCGTTTAAAACGCCTAAATCTTTTCCCCTTGTCGTATCGTAGGACACGAGGTGACCTTATACTAGCATTTCGTATCTTTAATTATGATTTGGGTGTTAATATGTCTTATCTTTTTGCTCCCTCCAGCACTAATAATCTCCGAGGTCATAGCAAGAAGGTTCATAAACCACGATCTAATAAACTTAAAGTGGGGTCCCGTTTTTCTCATCGAGTAGTCAATCATTGGAACGCCTTACCCGGACAAGTGGTATCAGCCCCATCAGTGAATACTTTCAAGGAAAAGCTGGACCTTCACTGGAAAGCAATGTGTCAGGATTAATACAGGTTCACCAACCTACTATCCTTATTACTGAAGACATTGATGATTGGGGCAAAGATGACCACACCTGTGAGCTCAATCATTTTAAGTTCACTTAGTAGGCCTCTAGTTAGTTATTTTTGACAATATAAGTTGTTTGGAAATAACACCTTACTACTATCATATTCAAGTGGCATTACTATTTAATCCCAGTTTTTATTAAACAACATAATATTTGTTAGGTCCAGTGCAAGACACGAAGCTATGAAATCTTAAGTTTTTGTACAATATTGGATGGTGTTTATGTCGTATAAACCACATACAACTCATATAAAGTCGAACATTTGATGGACTATAAGTAGGTCTGTAACCGTAAAATACGAATTAAATTGATAAAAATTCACACTTTTAGTAGAGAAAAATGAACGCAAGTTTCAGAACATTGTTACGCACCAAAAATTTAAAGCGAAACGACAAAAACATAAGGATGTAAATGAACAAATGAGTAGTCACAATATTAATTGTATTTTGATGAATATTTAACTCAAACTTACCTAAAACGAGTGTTGCAGATGCGTAATCCAGTTCATCTTCCGACTGCACAGTTGCAGAAAAGGTATCGTCTAGTGCGTCTGACAGGTTCTGAAAACAAGACATCATGCTTTGCAGATTCTGCTTTATTTAGTCTTTTGTATGCACGGCTACGTCACCTAGACAATACTCAGAAGAACAACCCACTCCCCAAAATTCAACCGGACCAGTGACTCGGTCTACTAGTTTCGGATAATACGATTTTCACTTCATTCCAATTGGCCTCCAGTTTACTGACCTTTTATTCCATTCTGACCAATCAGATCTACCTGCCTTTCATACGTCAATAAATAAACCAGCCAATTACAATTACATATTTGGCAATGACCTTAATGTTGTCAGGTGGCTCATTTGGCTGGCGATTAGTGGCCTTGAAAGGCGAAACGCCGCACATTACAATAACTAAGCTTTCCATTCAGTTTCCGTACCCTGCTTTATCCAATGATCTATCAGGCTTCGACGACGTCCAGTCGTAGAAAATTTGTCACCATTTCTGAACTTGGTTTTATAATATCAGATTATCTCGTACTCAGAAGCGTTAGTGGGAATGCTTATAAGCATTATATATATATAAGGAAATAATGCCAGGAATTAGTTCTAAACACTACTGATTATTCACAAATGTCGACCCATAATTAATGTAATGTAGAAAAACAAGTGCCCACATATTTCTTCCTGTGATAACGAAGTCCCATTTAACGGATCTATCTAAAAACTGCCTTTTAAATACATAGCTGTAATCAATTAATCTAAATTTCGGTCATGATTGTCGTATCCTGGATCCAAAAAACTAGTGCTCATTCTCAGGGTTTACGTATCTGGTTGTGATACATTCACCAAGTAGATAGACCTATAGTAGTAATATCCTTACGCTTACCATCTAGATAATTTTGAGAACTGTACTCTGAAGTGGGAACTGTACATAATATCAAGTTGGTCGACAAGAAGTCCCTTTTATTGGTACACCTCAACATATCAGTGTATTTATTTGGTTCCTCTGCAAATCTGAGTGGCTCAACTTCGATATTCGAGTGAGATACTAGCTCATGGAGAAAGTCGTTCAGTCATCTACAACATTGAACCAGGGACATATGTATCAGTCCAAGTTGCCATTACCTCATTAGCATAACAAGATTAACATCAAATTCATAGAAGGAGTTACTTTAATGGTAGTAAGAAAAGATATCCTATTAATATATGATACAGGGAGAAAGAATTAGTTCGTATAGAGAAAGATATAAATTAAGTTTAATCTCACTGTTTAAATGAGGACAAAGAGTGTATAAACCTACACCATTGTGGTCGATTCTGAACCATGTCACCTAGAGTCTCCAACCATTGGTTACGATAGTCACGCGGACCCCAACCAAGTAGTCTGCATCTACCAACATGACTCGGACTAAAAGTCAGTGACTTTATGAATTGATGCCACATTTGAGCTCGGCTGCTGCTTCCTTCCAACCGTCTAACACTATTTACCATTGCGTGTTGCGATAATTAGTGGTCGGGCATAGGTAATACGTGGCCAAGCCGCTTCAGTCGGTGTAGATTTACAACCTTATCAACTGACTTATCATCATTCCCTAATACTCTACGTCTGACCTCACTATTACTTACCCGGTGATACCAGCAATATTTCTAAGAGATACGAGTATTTTCTACTCTTAATGGCCATATTTCACAGCCGTAAAGTAGAACAAAACTAACTACTGTGCAGTATACTCATCCCTTAATTGATAGACGGATATCTCGCCTAAGCCAAAAGTGACGTAAGTCTGTAAAAGGCAAACGAGCCTTTCGAATTTGTACAGAGATTTCGTCAGACACCAAACCATTGGTGCTGATTAGACTTCCAAGATAAGTGAAGTTGTCGATGCGTTCGATCACTTCATTTCCTAGACCTAGTTCAGGCGTTGACGCATGCCAGTTTCGAAGCAACAATCCGCATTTAGAGAGGGAGAAACGCAACCTAAATATCCTGAAATTGTTGCTCAGCGCTATCAAAATACTCTTCATTTTATCAGCGTCTTCACCAAACATAACTGTCATAGTCAGTAAGTCAACCTCCTGGTAAGAGGTCAATTCCTGAAAATTCAGTCGATGAGAACGTTATTTCCAGTAGTAGGCCTATGATGGAAGTGAGCAAAAGTGGAGATAGTGGACAGCTTTTCAGAATACTACTTGAGATTACAAAACTGGTTGACAGTTCGCCATAATCTCTAACCCGAGATAAAGTGTTCGATTAAAGAGCACTGAACATGTTTATGTACTTCTGGAGCAAATTCAGAGAAGATCAACCAAGAGAGCACTTCAACCGAAAACAGATCTTACGAGGTTCTTTTAGAAAGGTTGGAACTTTAACATACACAGTACAGAAGAATTAGCGTTAATATGATCATTACTTACCATGTTTCTATCTTCATGCTAATAGATTGTATTTTTTTATCTAGGGCACACTGTGCAATCTGAGCTTATGGTTTACCCTGATTTCTTGTTTTACGTCGATGAAAGCGTTTTCTAACTCCTTTCAACCACTGTTTTTCAAAAATGCCGGCAAAATTTACTGAGCTTCAAGTTATTGCACATTTCAGAATTTGGAAAAGTACAAATACACAGATAAATGCAAAGTCAGGGGATTTTATAATAAATCTCATCAGTATTTGCAAATTTTTACCCTTCAGACAAAAATCTGGTTTCTTTAAAAAATATCTTTTTGTTAGAAATTATGAACAGTTGACTATGCCTACGTGTGTTTTAAGTTTCTAAAGTTCATTGTCATTCATTTATTTGTTTACACAGACTTTCTATTAAAGTTTTGATAATGTGAACTCTCAAACATCTCATATCTATATTGTGTTAAATTATTCAGTAAGTAATTTAAGATTTGTTTCAACGATGTCACGGAATAGAACAAATTAAATCATACCAGCTACATATCATAACTAGATTTGAATACTTCTGAGTTAAACCAGCAGATAACACGAAGATATATTTAATAGCTAGGCACAAGCTAATAAGCTTTTTATTTGATTCGAAATTTTATTAAACATTGAATAATTTGAGAATCAAGAAACTAACTGTTCATACGAGCACAATAAAGTATTTAGGTTCCATATCAAGGAGTAGCATTAAGTTAAAAACTGAAAACCAGAAAGCACTGGACATTCATACCAGGCGTGAGTGAAACTTAACCAGTAACATTTAATAGTTGGATAACTGACTAAGGTTAGAAGTGCTAACCACTAGGTGACAACTCAGTAGTTTGGAGGTTAAGACCTAAAACTCCTGTATTTTATTCGGTATAAGGCCGTACAACAGTGTGAAATACCTGGTGCTTTTTGTGTCCAAATTTCAATGAAGGTAGGGTCAAAAGGTTAGATGATCGGATATTAAAACAAAATGATAATTAATAGTATTTCAGATTTTTCTCAAATTTAATCAAATATTCTTGAGAGAATCGATTGACTTATCAATCAAATACAGAACATGTGATTTAGGCAGTAAATAATTGGTCAAAGTGAGTAGTTTGATGAGTAAGTAACACGTAATGATGACTTCGTTAGTTTGATTAAATTTGATTAATCAAAGATCTAGAGTCAAGTAACTGCACTATTTCACAGTTTGCAACCATTTATATTAAACTCTTCGATACCCAGCTAAATAGCCTGATTTCTGTATACAAACCTATATCCTATTCACTAATACTATATTTCATATCAGGGTCTTAAGTATAACACTTACAGAAGTTTGGTTTCAATTTCATAAAATCCTGTCTTACCGATTGTCTTCAAGTTAAACTGAGGTTTTATGGGCACATGATACGGAGTTAACATGATAGAAACATTTTAATGATTATAATATTTTAAGTAAGTGCCTCAGTAAAATGGATCGTACAAATAATTGAAGAAAATATTTTGAACAGTAATAGTTAAAATGATCTTAAATTCCTTACAATACCAATTCGAATATAACTGTCATGTTATGATAATTAGGAGTATTTGAACTGTAGTAAAAACTAAGAATCCCAGAAATTACGCAATTGGATCAAGAAGTACAAGATGAGCATGAACGAATGTACTGTATTTGGAATTCGAAATCAAGCATTCAACAAGTACAAAGGAATCATTAGTTCATAAAAAAACCACATCTGCTACAGCTTAAATTAGAGTCTAAGTGTTTGTGATCGATTGTACGTCTTCTTCTCAAGTTCATTCTGTATCTGTCCAACAATGTATTGGATAAAGACTCTGCATTATCAAGAATGTATTCATCAGTATTGGAATTAACAACCGAAATCGGAACAGACTCACCTGCTTCCTGGGTTTGTACACAATTGCCATGTCGGTTGTGTACCGAAACCACTAATATATGGAATTTGAACCACAAATTTTCCAACATTACCCTCCCCCACGAAATAATGTTGGATCTTTATATCCCCAGGTTATGAACGATGTGGCTTCATTTAAAACATATTTCTAACATTGACTAGAGTAAACATGAGAAGCGACTTCATCATAAGGATATGAAATGATCCTAATTGTAATCAAAATCGAGCTCATTTAGTACTCGTGCTCCGCACTGAACAAGTTTCCCACAAGAAACAAATGCATTATGAGGACAAATAATATTTGATAGAACATCAAGACTTGAGTCTTCTGAAATAGTTTCCTCAAATTTATTAAGAATGTCATTGCAGAGTAAAGGATAGGATCACTAGAAAAACCAGCATCTATCAAAACTACATCAGGTTTTCGATCATGATTAGGCTCATCCAACATGTTTTCGTCAGATCTATAAGAAATCTCATCAGAAATAAGTGAATCATTAGGAAAAACCATATCTGGTACAATATGATGAGAAATCTGACAAGTCGATTGATTAGAAACTGTTGTCTCACAAGGATTCCAAGTTTCATTTAACTCTGGTCTGCTATGTGACTCTATATCGCTTTTCGAAGTCGTGGATAAAGATAAATGATCGTTAGAAACACCCAACTTAATAGGATCACAAATACGAATTTTAGCATTATTTGTGACGGAATGAACCGTAGTATGACAAACTGACTGAATGTGCCCAATCTCGCAACATTTAGAGCATTTAGAATTTCGAAATACACATGAATTAAAAGAGTGGAACCTGTCACAGGACAAACATTGACCGAACTTTTGCCCATCTTCGTGAATTGCATCGCAACTCCTCAATGAATTATCGGCATTACCTTGAGTATGCACTGGATTGGAATGACGTAGTGATGTAGTATAATTTCCGATGTCCTGATGAATCATTTTGCGAAATCTTCCTCCTTTACCCCATTCGAAATTTATATACTTCACATAGTCTAGCAGTAGTTCCTTGAGAGTTGCATAAGGAAGATAAATAGGCTTTCCTGGTAAAGCCAGAGGTTTTAGTAAGCTGTAAGCTTCTTTTCCGATGAATGTGAGGAAATGTGCCACATTATTAACATAATCAGCATCTTTCTTGTTCATAGTCCAGATTTCGAACCTTTCCAAGTAATCCTCAAAAGCAACAAAATCTGAATATATGTCCAACCGTTCGATCACAGGCTCCATCGCGATGCCAAATGTGATAATTAGGAATATTTGAATTATAGTACAAACTAAGAATCCTAGAAATAACGCAATCGGATCAAGAAGTACTAGATAAGTACGAACGAATGTACTGTATTTGGAATTCGAAATCAAGCATTAGTTCATACAAACACCACACATGTATAATTGGAAAATTCAAACTACAACAAATCCGTTATTGATTGTTATCATAGTTGCAACATATTTAAACGCAGAAAAAAATACAAATAGATTAAATCATCTAACGTTTTTTTAATAGTCACATTTACTTGAATAGTTTCCTTGTAGTCAACAAACCTATCAGTAAAAGCATTTCATTAAGAGAAATATTAATTAAGTTAAAATAACAACCTAATTCTCTTTCTACCAGAACATTGATTTCTTAATCATTTCATTTCTTAGCAACACAAAAAATCTCTTTGAAATAATCAATTACTGACAAAGCTACTAATTAATAAAAATATCGATCAATTTTTCACGTGGATTTTATATTTCCTAATACAAATTAGATCTGAACTATTTTTTCAAAAAAAATTCTGACTTAGTTCAGATAATAATATAATTCAATGAAAAGGTAATAATATCTACATCATTATGAATTATAGTTATATATTCAAAGAAATAATATCAAGTGAATTTAAAACTTCACCCCATTACACAAGAAAAAAGCTATCAGGACTCAGTAACTAAGTGGATAACGTAATGGTGTTTGAATCGAACGGTACTGGATCAGAGTCTAAGAGTAAACATCAACTCTGATATGCAGGCACATCCATCTGACGAGCTCAAAATAAGAAGAAACGCGCATCTGAGATTCTACTGCTAGTCACTATATATCTTTGCTTATAATGCTTGTGAATTAAGGCAATACCGAGGCAATACGCACAGTATGGACATATGCCGATAAGAGACTGATCAATTGCAGTGCTAAACATCAATGAGGAGATTCAAGTAAACAATACCAAGTAGCTATATGTTGATCTAAAATAAACAGTCAAAGTGAAAAGAACTCATTAACTGAGAAATAACAAATTTCTTTGAGATCGTAGAATCTTAGTGTCAATAGTTCTTTGGTAAAATTGTCTTTCATTATAACATAACATGATTCAATTGAAGTCTTTCTAAATTTTTAAAAATCTTTCTTTGAGTATACGGTAAGTAACAAGCATACCATTTTTGTGCAATCTATGCTCCCAAAAATTCCGCCTGTAGTTCTTCTAGGACTACTGCCGATCCTAAGCCCGGGTAATGAAGGACGATTGAGCATAGGGTTAGCATTGTTATCCCGTAGAAAACAACTTTGCTAAAAAAAACTCTAACCAGAAGAAACAAAATGCTCCTGGAGATTTTATGATCAGTTTGACACTAAAAACAATTGTCTAATAATTTGTTGGTTGTGTTTTGTACATACAGTCATTCAAGATTATTAACAATTCAATATTCTATAGTAAATTATTGAGAAATGTTATCATTCTAAATTGACACTTCTTATCTTAAAATAAATAATCGAATAAACTATCTAACAGTTAAACGAATCTGATTTCTACAACATTTATGTTAATGATATACGATTTCATGTAAATAGTGAATTTATCAACTAAAATCATTTTCATAAGTCACGTAAATGTTTATCATCTAACCAAAAAAATTAGTCAAGCATAAATTTTATATTTCCTGCTGCTCAGTTGACTAAAATTGAGATGTGAGGTGATAGTTGGAGGTAATCGACAGCCGGAACAGCTCAATCTTTGCGTCTCTGACTATGAGGCTGAATGGTCAAAATCGAATCCTCATGCGAGCATCAGTTCCCTCGTGATTACA